ACGATTGAAGCGAGGAGGGTCTATTGTTTTGCTCGAAAAGTTAAAAGCTGTACCTTCTATTTAGCTGCAAATTGACCGCCTAAAATAATCTTTCTCGGCTTGAAAGGCGGTCCTCAGACTCTTGTATGCAAATTTCAACTTACTCTAAGAGTAATTGTTCTGAGTTGTAAAGAATGTTTTTTCAACAGACGTGTAAAAAGCCGTCTTGTACAGCAACAAGACTGCGGTTGATATAAGCTTCAGCCTACGAAAGATTGTATTTTGCGACGGCTGGTTCTGACTTTTTACGGCCATGTTCAGTTTCTTACCTTGTAAACGAGCTAGTTTTCTGAGGTAAGTATATTCCGTGCGCGAGATACTCAGTCGGGCTTGAGATCGAGTACAAATGTTTACACCTATCCTTGGTGACAGAAAAACATTTCACCGAATCATCAATAAATTCTTGCGAGCCAATGACACAGGCAAAGACGGAAAGAGGTTGGAGGATCTATTGAAAAGAATTGCAAACTCTCATTTGTTTTTCAATGGGTCTTTGCTGCAACGTAAGCGACCGAGTTTGATACGCTAAACTTGGACACCAGCTGTCGTGCCATTCTACTGGCGAATTTAAAAACTTTTATTTTTCTCATGCCCTCAACTTCCCGAGAGCCTTTTCTGATTGTTTTTCCGTTCAGCGCCAAAGCCTTCGAGAGAGTTTAGATGATTGCAGTGTTATCCAGTGAGGCGTTTCACGGTCCAAACTCGTATCTAGCAGAAGAAGCAATCTTTAAAATCAACATAGTCTCAACTAGTTTCACTTTCTTATCGAGCTGATCGCAGACAAAACAGGTAAGCAAGAAGTTATCAAAATGTTATCCATTTCCTCTCCGTCAAAATGTAACTGTTATCTATTCAGTTCTGTAAGCGTTTCGCTCAGCTGACTCCTCGTTGAACAGCGCTTTAAACCTTCACGGTAAACTGGAAAAATTTCCAACATATCAAAGTCTTCTTCAGCGCGGAAACTCGAAAATATTTCTCAATTTTTGCATTATGCAATTGAATTGTCAAATCCTGAAGTATCCGAAATCTGGTCTCGTTGTGTACATTAACTTCTACAGAAGAAAGAAGATGCATCGAGTTCAGAACAGACAGTTTAATTCTCGATCGATTCACTTTTGATCGCAGCACAAATCAATCTTGCAGATGTACAAAATAACGTTTGTGTTTATCGAGCTATCAAGAGCTTCATATTGTAATTCAAAATCACAATTTAAATCAGCTTTTACACAAAGCTGTGTCCCGCCTGTTCTGAACACATTTTCATTTGCGCCACTTTGAGGCGAATCTGTTAAATAGTTCGGCGCAAAATTTATGACTTCGTATTCTTCAATAAATACTTTTTGTCCCTTCGATAATATTTTGATTAGTCAACGGCAAAACTCAATATTTCGGTAGTCAATTGCTGACCGCAAATGTATATATGTCATGTTTTGTACTTTAAACAGCACGATATGGCCTATTTCACAGACGATTTACCACAGTTTGCGCACGTAATTGCCCAACTTTTTCCAGGGGCGGAATATTTTTAAATAGGAATCAGCAACAATGAATCGTTGTAAATTAAAGAAAATCTAGCTCGTAAATGAGCGGTATCTTGAAAGTTAAATGCTGTTGTGTAATCAGTGTACATATAGCAGCAAAAAAAAAAAAATCTGGAAAATTAGCAACCGTAATTGAAGATAGGTAAACAGACGAACGTTTGGTCTTTTTGTTTCCCCACAAATAATGATTTCAGAAAAGCAATTATGCCAAAAAGACTCATATATGTTTAGTTTAACCATGTCCTGTGCAGATTTGTCTACAATGTTGTTAGCGTCGCCGAGATTCGCTTGCGTTTCGAGTGGAAAGTTCTCAAAGATACACTTCGTTTATCATGACAATGACAGACAGGCATTACGAAACAATTCATTAAATCAGGCATTTCAAAACCCCATTTTTCAGAATACAATTTAGGAAAATCAAAACCTAATTCGTTACCTTAAGTACTTCTCAAGAAGATAAATCATTATTTTGGGCGTTAACCAGCCTCTAATTACAAATTTCGAGATCAAAGCCACTACAGTTAGATAAATATCAAAACTCGGACTAGTAGCTCTTATTGCCGCCTTTTTTGGACGTTAATTTCAAGTAATTATTATCGCTACTTTACAACGTTATTATTGAATAAAATGATGAATTGTGAAGCCAGATCTAACGATATAAATGCATGGAAATTCTTGGAACACCTTACTCTCAGCGAAAGAAGAGTCCTTGATTCAGAATCGCGCGGACAAAATTGCTGCAGAGGAATACTATCAAGAAGGTTTAGATTGTTATTCTAAGACTCGACGATGGCGCGTCCAACTCGATAAACTGATTCATTCTGTTATACCGTATACACAAGGTTCAAGATCGTCAAAATTAATTTAAATTGGAGATAGTTTAGTGGTTGGAACTTTCAAGCGTGTTAATGACCACGCACCTCGGCCACGATATTATATACTATGATTTTTCACAAACGCTCTCGTCATTAACGACTCGGAATCGGTGATTTCCTCATTTCACTCTCTTCTCGCACCGAACACCTGTCATCTTCAACAAGGCATTGTTTTTCTTGGAAATGAAAATTTACTTTGCTCTCACAGCGTGATTCCACAATATTTTCACGAGCGAGGAAAAAAGAGAAAAAACATATCACGCGCCTTTCTGTATGCTTACCTCTAAGTATTTGAATAAGTAGATGCGCCGCTCGATTCACCCCTCTTCAATTGCAGAGCTAACTTAGCCAAAAATGAAATACTTTCCGCTTTGCACTTGGCCTCCGCAGCTGAGTTCAGTTTTTTTTCTTTTCCCGTGAAGAATCCATTAAGCTCGGTTGATAAAACATGGATGTTTATCCAGCGGGAAATATAAACATTCTCTAGTATTATGAGCGGGATAAATTCTCTTATCTTATCTCGTGATCACTACGTGAAGGTTTTTTCAGATTGGGTTTTCATTGCCGTCCCAGTTTACTATTTTTCCTTATTAATCAAAGATCCAATTAAATAAAATTCTCGCCTTCCGCTGAAATGCTAGCGAAAGGCTTGATCCAAGATTTTACCTATTCGTTTTTGGTCTATACCCAACTCCTTTGTCTCGCCATTACACCGGTTAGGTGAGACCAAATAAACATCACTGACGCAGAGACATTTATTTGGAAAGTCGTTGACTCAATAAACAGCACTGTCAGTAAAATGCTATTGGTTTCGTACCGAGTTATGGGTCATTTTGCGGCAACTGTGCAAGGCAATTACATAACTCTAGCAGAGCCTAAATGTGTAGGACTACCACAACATTTAGGGTGTGTGCGGAAACTGAAATTTAATTTATGATAATTCAGTTAACACAAACCTGACCAAGCAACGATTATCATCATTAAAGTATTTTTCAATTTTTTTTTTTTAATTTTACAGCTTGAATCTAAAATCAGTGTCACATATAACGCTTTTCCTCTACAAATTGTTCCCTGTTAAGTTAATATGTAAGGTTTTTAGGGGTGTTTGATAAATTTTGGCACCTGTTAAGCGAACAGATTTGTAATCCTTCCAATGACGGCCGCTTGAGTTAAGTTTTCAAATCTTTTCTTTGTTTTAATTAGTATGACGTGTTCTATATTGACGAGAGAAGACAAAAAAAACATGTTTATTAATTTTCATTCTGAAAGTTCTCTTTTTTCATCGTTTTTTAATAAAGTAACCTCTGTTAAAAATTCTTTCAATTTTCCTGATCACACTTTAGACCACATTTAATTTTGACGTATGTGCTATCAAGTTTCAAAATGAAAAGAAAAGTTCTTGTTGAAAAATACTAACTCGTGAATTAAACCCCGAGAGATTTGCGGCCGATATGTTAATCGCCTGTCCTAATACCTAGTATTTGAGTGGAATGAAACACCTCATTCATGCAAACAAATGGTTTTCATCTTGTTGCACTAATCGACGCTTTCCTACCAGCAAAAGGAGTTTTAAAAGTTTCTCGGACATCTGAACAGAGAGGGTGAGTTTCACTACCAACTAGAGAGACTTATAAAGTCTAAGACTGTTATGACAGCGGGAGCACTCCGTGCGAATTATCTTTCTCTCGATTTCAAAACTTGAAGGAAGGGCTAAGTCTCAAAGGCAAGACTTAGTTTGACTACTTAGTTTCACTTAAATCATAACAAAGGAAAGAAATTGATAATTGAAGCTTACTACCAAAGACGCCTTTTTTCTGCGCGTAGTTCATATCTGTAAACTCTCACGACGATTGGACGAATTCGGTTGCGATTCCGTTCCACAAAAATCAACAGAAAACAAAAAGCCGTAAAGTTACAAAAAAAAAAAAAAAAAAAAAAAAAAAAAAAAAAGAGTCCTCGACTTCACCTTTGAACTTAAATGTCACGCACATCGTTCGAGCGACAAAATTGTCGCGAATATTTCTTTATAACTGCGGAGAAGTTTGAATTTTGTAAATACGATTAACCTCTTCGACGAAAGCCGTGATACATTAGCATACGTCACCGTTCGCTCAGTTTTAATTAGGATTGCACTGTATTGTACAGGGTTACCACAACAGACATGAAGGTGTTAATTACACGCACAAAATAATACAATTCGTACAGTTTCTTCCAAGTGGGTTTTTTTCTGAAATGGTTTACAACAATACGATTTATGAAAAACAATTCTGCAACCGACCAGACTAAGAAACGAAGACAGCAATCGTAAAAAAATAATAACCTTGGAAAAAAAAAGCGCCGGGAGAACATAGATGGAGTAATCTGTTTTTATTTTTGGAAATTTTCTTCAGTTGTTCTACTCTATGGTCGGAATCAGCATTTTCAGATTAGCTCACACGCAGTTCTTTATCAATTGGATCCGATTTTACCTACGTGAAGTACACGATATCAAACTGTTCGAAGGAGTGAGTCTTCTGCTTTGAAAAACAGGTCGGTTTGGTATCTAATGGCTAAACTGACATCCATTATTCTCTTCACAGGAATGAGGAGACTCAATTCTTCATTCACTTTGAACTATTCAACGACACGGTCGAATTTATCCGATTGGATCCCAAATGAGCAGAACATCTCATCAGGGATCATTATTCAGTCTGTGTTCCTAGCCCTGGTGATAATTGTCGGTGTGGTCGCTAACTCCCTGGTTTGTCTTGTGATTTACAAGCGAAGAAATCTTCACACGGTCCTCTACAGCTTCCTGGTGAGCCTCTCCGTGTCTGATCTTCTTCACTCCGCTCTCAAGATGCCCACAACCATGCTATCCACTCTACACATCCGCTGGTATCCTCATCCGTCATTCTGCTACATCACCACTCCCTTTGGCGTCCTTTTTGGTGCCGCCACGGTCTTCAACTTGTGCGCAGTCGCTCTAAACCAGTACTTTATTATCCTAAAACCACTTCTCTACCCCATGGTCATGACAGCCAGGCATGCGCGTTACGTCATTGCCGGCCTTTGGGCGGGAAGCATAGTGATCTCTCTTCCGCCGATATTCTGGCGCTCAGCTGACACCATTTGCAAAAGCGGGCAGTCTCCAACGACAACTATCTTTCTGAAGTGCTTTATTTATCGGCCTTGTGGACATTTGTGGTCATTATTCCAACCGTCGTCATGGGTATAAGCTACACAAAGATTTTCTTAGAGGCGCGTCGCCAAATTTTCAAAATGAGAGAAGGTACTCAACTGAACGGCGAGTTACGAGCGTCCCACACGCGCAGAAAGGAATTTCGCGCTGCAGCGCTGCTTGCTTTGGTCGGTGGCATTTTCATATTGTGCTGGCTACCGTTTTTCGTTGTTCAAACTTTACACAAATTCTCCGCTGCAAACATTGCGCCATTTTATTTTCGTCTATTCCTTTGCGTCATGTACTCAAAGTCGGCAATCAATCCGTTGCTGTACACTGCTCTGAACAAAGAACTAAGGAAAGCGTTAATTCAGTATTTGGGTCTTCAAAAGAAAATCTCTCATGACAGTAAAGCTCGGGTACTGAATACTCGAATGACCAATCTCAAAAATGGGTTAAATCAACACGAAAGCCTTTTGTAAATAGGTGGTGATGTCAATAGCACAATAATTTTAATCTTACAATAAGCATATTTCGTATTTGTTTCAAGGCAGCGTTCTCTGGGAAGAAAACACTTAAAATTTGGTGAACTTGAAAGAAGAAATGTTAAAGCCTTAAACTCCCAAGATCTGGTTCTTAACTCTCCTCTCTAGCTGCTACGAAATTCCTTATAGAATAGTTACAAGAATTTGGTGTTAGATCAAGTTAAAAACTTCTGCTTGATAAGTTTGAGTATTCTCACTACCTGTTTTCTGGATAATGTATGGATGTTATAGGAAGAAGTTACATGTTCATAACTTCCGCGAATTAAAGGGTTAAACACCCCGCGAGTAAAAAGTTGATAGATAGGCCTTTTACCCAGCTGCGCGAGTCGAAATAACATCGAAAATACATGGACGCCGAGAAAGCGATAGAAAATAGCGTAGATTCATGTCGCACTCCTTCAGTACACTGGATGAATCAGTTAGGTCGAAAGTCTTGGACAAAAGTCGCTAGAAATTTCAACTTGTGCACCTGGAGACAGAATGTGCAGCGAGTCCGAAAGTGACGCTACGCTCGAGGATACTCGTGCCCATGTGATACACGCGAGGATGGACGTGCCCAATCCCGCATGCACTTACCACAACCACGAATACGAAGGGGATAGTGAAAAAAAAAAGAGTTAGAATTTCTCTTTGAACAGAATGAAAAAAAAATATATTTTTGAAGTTCCTTGTCTGGTACCTCTTGGCAAGAAAGTTCTGCATACTGCAAATTTAGTAATTCTTATGCTGATCTTCTGCTTCAGTTCCAGAAAGCTGAAAGAAACCCTCAGTATTCAAATATAGAGCTTGCTTCCTGTTTTGAGATTTTTACACAAACACTTTCTACCGCAGTTTCCTTCTCTTTTAAGATATACAAAAACGTTCCATTATTACGAATTGTTTGGAAACCAACAAATTATTTCCCTATTTCTCATCAAATAATGATGGCCTGAAACTGTCTTCAACGTTGACACATGATTCATTACATGACTTCTAAAGAGAAAAGTTTATGATTAGTTTGTCGATCAAATGTATCTTTATAATGGCAAAAAATAAACAATCTGTAAATAATTTGTTTTTCTTGGAGGGCAGGGTATTTCAAAATGAGTTAGCATATCATCGATGTTTAACTTTTTAATTACAAACAGTTTCTGTTGTCGTCTTTTTCTTTCCAACAAATGTGGTTACTGTTTAGTGTTGTCTCATTTCAAGACGTGACACCGTCAAAGCATTACCCCTCAGCTTTGACACCAATGGTTATTCTACGTGCCTATGTCTTCCGCTAGAAAAAATTAACGATCGAATAAACCCAACCTTGCACCAGTTAATGAAAGGAGTTTCACTTGTGAAACTGAAGCAAGGAACCAATAGAAGGCAAACCTCATATTGGCCAAGGTAAGTTATATGGAAAGAAGTGTGCTGAAGTATAACATCACGTTTCATTGTTTTGCCTCCTTGGACCTTGATGGGTGTTCTAGTTTAAAACTCTTTTCGCCAGCTTTCCGATGATCTGTAAATCCTTTATTTCCTTTGTTGTAAGAATTAGGCCCTGCTGATGTGGGAGTGTTTCTGAAAAATACAGAGTAGAAAAAATAATTAATATTATTTCCAGATGCAATTATCATGAATATTTAGAGGGAGAGAAGGACAACTTTTCCGGTGGAAAGTAAGGGTGAAGTCTTGACTTGAGCCAAATAGCCTGTGCAGTCAGAGCTTATTCTGATTTCTACTGCATGGCACCCAGGAGTATTACACCCCCCCCCCTCCCCACCCACCACATTGGATGCCAATCCAGGTTACCTTCCAGCATTTCATCAGGCTTCTCTGACAATTTGCCTGCACCTCTTTACACTCCTGGATGGGGCAAGGTGCTGTGTAAGTTAAATTTTTTGTCCAAGAATACAAAATAATGCACCAACTATTAGAACAACCCATCTACCACAATGGAAAACAAGGCTAGGCATCATTTTTTCTCTCTTAACAGCATTGGGTTAGGCTGGTCACACAAACCTTCAAATAGGAGAGCAGTGTATGACACAATTAAAGGACATCTAAAGAGTACGGTTAAGCACTCTCCAAATTAAGATAACAAAGTCAGTAGAAGGGACTTATTTGTTGACTTCTGTCTAGGAAACATTAAAACTCAGGCAACCAGTCTGCCCTAAAATTCACAAGATGTGACTCTAACACTGTACCTCCCTATATTCCTCATTCTCATTTTAGCTTCTGCCGGCATCTCTTCTTCATCATCACTCTATAAGAAATGATAAGCCAAGTAGTATCACATTACAAAATAGAAAGTTTTTCATCCAACAAGGACTTTTGAGCTCTTAAAAGCAAGAATCAGATAACTAAGGTAGAGGTTTAAATCAAAGACAGTTAGTGTCAGTCTACCGCCACCCAGAACACCATTGGCAGCCACTTATGGAAAAGGTCATTGCAACCCATGAATGAGGTCTGCACATAGGCTTACAAGCCCTGCCAAAGTTTACCCAGGATTTACCCCTCAGCAAGTTAATTTCAGAGTTGCACCCAGTTTTCCCGTCTAACAGTTTGCCGGGATCCAGTGAGGGAATCCCTATTGAAGTGTTAAGTGTATTGCTAAAGAACACAAAATATACTTATTCACAATGATAATCTAAGACACACACAACCAAAAATCCAACAATACTTTGAAAGTTTCAAATTAAAGAACTATTTGAACCAAAAGACCTGTATTACCTTACCCATTCCAAGGGCTTAACACTTTCAAAGCCCTTAGAAAACAAACTACTTGCTACTAACCTTAAGATTGAGAACAATTCCAAAATAAAATACAAGATGAAATTGTATGTGGAATTTAAATGTAATTTCACAATTCCCATGCAATAAAAATTTTAATAGCAATGAAGAGAACTAGAGGTTGTATAATGACACTAGAAGGTAGGGTTACAGACTATTTGATTTGCCTCATATGAAAAACAGAAAACCTGCCACACAACACATACTTATGAATACCCTGATCCACAAGAGAAAGATGATCAAAAAATATGGTCACGTTGACATTCCATCAATAAATAATGGTAACAAATAATAACATTAACAATAATAATAATGATAACAATAGTAATATAATTATAATTTAAAGGGACAAGGTCAAAAGCCTTATCATTATCGTATCCTCTGGGCTTCAACAATGATTACCCACCAATATGCTTTTTTACTTTTGCCTGTTAATCATAAATAATTTTCTCATTTTATTGCAACCAGATATTTTGAGACTTATATTTCATACAAAAAGGTATTCAGCATTTCAAGATATTCCACCATTCCACAGATTCACTGTTCCTCCTTTCCCCTGTTCCATCATTCTGTTGATTAACTCAAGGTATCATATTTCACGGCTTGCCTGCTTCATAAATTTACTGGCTCTTTTTGGCATAAGTTGCTGACTCAATCAGTAAAATGCTCTCTTTTCAAAGAAGAAAAATTTCCTCAAAGCTTTCATGATGTGCAGATCACATCTATTGAGATATTTCTGCATAGAAAAGTTTTGATTTAAATCATGCATTAGTGGATGCCACTGTGAAATTATTTTGAGAAGTTTATCATCTTTTCTTACTAGTGTCACAGCAAGAACTGAAAAGATCATATCTTCCATTCCACATAATTTGCTGATTTAAACAGCAAAATGCTCTCTCTTCAAAGAAAAAAGTTTCCCCTAAGTTTCATGATGGATCAATCACACCTAATATAAATTTTCTGCAAGAAAAAACTTTACCACAATCCTGAAATGATTGTGAGATGTTCATTGTCTTCTGCTGTCTCTTTTAGTGTCACAGCAAAAACTGAAAACATAATGTGCTTGTGGCTATGAGCCACAAATCACAAAAGAAGAACACTAAACTGTGTACCGAGTGCAACTGTCTAACAACTAAGATACTCCAAAACAAGCAATAAGTAGCAGTGGGTCAAGATTGGAATTCTATTGTTACACTCACTCACGTACTAATCCAGAGGACATATGTGGCTTTGCTTCTTATAAGAGGTAGTAGCCACAAAAATTCACCATCAACAATAAGACATACAGTAAGTGCAACAGGCTCCATAGAAAATTCACCTTACTCTAAATTAAACTAAACCCCTATCAAGTCTGGTGTTATGTCTATTCTTTAACCGTTTAACTCCCTTAAGTGACTATGACAGAATTTCTCCTCACAATGTCAAAACAATATCAAGCAAATGAGTGATGAGGAAAAAAGAAAAATAGTTGAGCCAATACCAAATATTTTGAACTAAGATCATAACAACTGTATGGTAGACTGTAAGGAGAACCTCTAATGAGATTTGAGAGTGAAAAGGTTAATTTACAATGTACATTGCACAGGGTCAAGTTAAGGCTCTCCTAGAAGATATTTAAAGGCCAAAAATATTTGCTGGTTAATCATGTTTATCACAAAGTTAAGCCAATAAAGTTCAATCTACAAGTTAGAGATACCTCTTCGTTAAATGCAGATGCGACAGACCCCTTCTTTTCGACCAATGCTGGTTCTGTCTTTTGTTTTTTTGGATCAGATCCCTGAAAATTAGAGCGTATTAAATGTTAACCAAGAGTATTACAATACTGATGAGAAATTACATTTATTTCCATTTATTGTAAGCGTTTTTGTCCAATCTGAAACGGGTGAAGCTATGCATAAGAAGTTAGCAGACTGACCGAAAAAATAGTATTGACACAGTTCATGATAATTTGTACAATCAAGCTCTTGTACCCAAAAGCTTACCATAAGCAGACAGTTACAATTTAATGACGCCTCATGGCTCTTAAAACATAAAATTTAAACCGCTTAAAGGATATTTATTTTTTTATCACTTCCGCGTGACCGTCCGCGTGCTTTCTTCAATAATCTTGAAGCATGTGAGATCGGTGCTGTTTTTCATACAAATGCCCATTGTTGTAACTGTCGGCCGAACTTCCGAGGAAGACATTTTCATAAAAGTAAACACTTACCAGTTTTAAGCTGACTCCAATTGTCTTCTTCTGCTGAGAACCGGTAATATTCATCGAGATTTTTGGTTTAACGGTGAATTTTGGAGTTGCAGAAGTCTCGGAAAGCTTTCTTTTCTCGCCCGAAGAAGGGACCTTTAGCGTGGTGTGGCCTGCACATTAGACACAGAGACTGCACAATTTCAGTAAACCTGAATAATTAAATCATCTCTCCAAGACTAAATTTCAGAATAGGACCTTCACTTTCATCCTTCTCTACCAAAAGCTTGGAATCACCAGTGTTTTGGACCTCTTCCGCCATCTTACTTGGTGGCCTCGCAGATGTGGAGGCCAGGCTGCCAAGGCATCGGAAGTGCTTAGTTGTTTTCACAGCGACGCAAAGGCTGACGATTTGAGAACTGCCGCCTTTTTGATCGATTTCTGTGGTCTTCCGTATGTCACTTTAAACTCTCGGATTATCCTATTCGTGTTCTTCGAGATGTTCATAACTTTCGAGCGAGATAAGATATGAGTAGCTCCGTAGAAGATTGGCTTCGATCGCTCGGTTTTATTCACTACACACAAGCCTTTCTGGATAATGGCTATGATGAACTCGAAATTTGTAAAGAGATTGGGAAGGAGGATTTGGATGCGATTGGTGTTAGGAACTTCAAGGACAGGACAGACATTCTTAATGCTGTTGAACGCCTAAAACAGAGTGGCACCGCTGTGTACTTTGTCCTTGAAGGGAGTGACATCGAACCCTTACAAGCGCAGCCCGAGCGTGATACATACCCTCCAGTTTCATTGAAGATGATGTTGCACGATAAACTTGAAGAAGACAAAATCGATTTAACCACACATCCGTACTCTAAACCGGTGAGTACTATGAAATATTAGTTTCTAGTTCCGAAATAAGATTTTTGATAATTGGAAGAGCTTTATCTCGATCTGTTGTAAGAATGTTTCAGTTCAAGCTAGCTGGCAAGAACGCTTGTCTTGTGTGTAACACCCACGTTTGAGAAGATTGACCATCATATTGGCTAATATACACGGTAAATGTCGATCAAACTCGCACGCAATCCACTTTACATCATAAAGTAAACACTAAATTTTGTTAGGATCGTAAAAAGTATCCTCTTTTTTTTTTTTACTTATCTGCATGTGGGAAAATTTCAAATGTGCGCGATGTGCGTGTCAGATTCGAAACTTTACTGTTGAACAGATTCATTGGGAAATAACCTCCAATTTTTTCGTAGGAAACCACAAATCAGGTCTCAGTAATTGTCCTTCTTTGTATGAAATTTGTTTTTCTTTTCTCATTACCAGAAAATTGCTTGAGTGATCGCTAATGATTTTGAGGCCGCAAAATTATTTAATTCTTGAACAATTACTTTTTTCCTTGTTGTGAGATAAAGGCACGGCTCTATAATCGGATAAAAAGTGTCTATTTGCCTCTAGCTGTCAACACAAACATAAATTTACAACCTCGGGTTAACCTAACGCTTCACAGAGGGCTACAGTAATTAGAATCAACTTGACTTTCATAGTGCGAAAATAGACATGCTGTGCCTTTCTCAGTGACAATAAACCACTATACAGAAAGTGTTTGCCGTAAAATTCCTTTAGTCAATGTTTTTAAAAATTATTTTGATCTCGAGTTTATTGTTTAAATGTCTTTTTATGATCTTGAAGTCCTTCTCATTTAAAGATTTTCATTTCCTCACAAAGACCGTAAATAATTATACGTGATATTGTGTCATAAAAGATCTTAACTTAATGATCATGATATGATAGTATGAGTTTTGGCATTATTGATATTTGTTTGAATCAAGCGCTTAAAATATCTCAGATATCCGCTATTGTCTTTTGTATTTTAAATTAATGGTAATGTATTGACAAGTTAATCTGAAACCCTGATTCACAAAGGAGTCCAGAATATATAATTCTGTGAAACAGAATACATTTAAGCCCCTTTTTAAACCCTCTGACCCCCAAGATTCTCTGAAATGTCTGTCTTACATTTCCTGGAATGTTACTACTTAGAATTTGATGTCAAATCATACAAAGATCTCCCAGTTTATCTTTCTCTTAATTACAACACCACTCTGAAATCACCTGTGATCCTTGCAATTTGATTGACTCTCTTCAGTGGGATTTATCCATGAATTGCACTATTTTATGCTCAAAATTGCATTTTTTCCCAGTCAATAGTACAGCTGTGCTAAAACATGACAATCGATTAGATTTCAATGTCTATTTAAGAAATCAATCAAATTGCAGAAAAATGAAAGACAACTTTTGCACTTTCGTAAACTAGCTTGATACTGGATGAATAAAATGTTTGTATATTAAAAAAAAAAACCTTATTTTAGCAACTGAATTTTTTTATTTCAAAATATAGGTAAGAAAGTCTACTGTGGTAATTGAACTTTGTGTTGGGCAAATCAATCTTACACTGTGTGCATGTTTGATTTTGAGATCACGCATATGATTTCAGACCAAATTTCACTCCACTGAGTTCAATTACCATTATTTATTCTCATAACCAGTCTGCTGCTGTAAGAAGTTATTTCTCCTTCATTATCCCAAGGAGTGAAAGGGTTATTAAGCATAAGTATTTTTCTCATAGGATGGCTCTGAGGGATGTCTAGACACACTCGTAACCATCTATGCAGATAAGTTTTACACATATGAGGAACATGTGCTCAGAGCTTTAAGAATTTTACGTCAAAACAAAGTGGAAAAAGAAGGAGCATATAATGATTCCTCTTCACAGGTTTGTTTGTCATTTTGTTTTGCTTGTTGTTGAAAAAACTGGCACAAATTTTAGCCTTATTCTAGGGTGATAAAAAAATCTTGTCACCCAATTTATATAACTCAGAAATTGAAATACATTTACACTTTAATTTTTTTCCTTACAAGGTAATTTTCATGTCAGTGTTTGTTTACACTTCAGACTATTGCAGGGTTTGAGCTAGTATTTGATCACTGGGGGACAATTTGTCCCCTTAGCAAAAATTTTGGAGGACATTTTCATTTTTAGGGGGACAGACATTCCGAGTAAAAAAGCTTTCTAATGTTCGAACACGTTTTCGATGTGACATGTTACCTGCGCTGTTCACAAACATGCGAATTTTGAAGTTCAAAAGCCAACTGACGATTGTGTTTTTTGCTGCCGTCAATCATCTTAACGGAACTCTTAGGAAACAAAACTTTACTTTCACGGGTTCAAAAGGTCATGGTTTGTGATTTGTGATTGGTGGATTTCAATCTGTTTCGTGTGTTTCTGTGTTTCAAGGTTCGTTGCTTGTGATCATAATTATGATTGAGGGCAGCGAAAAACGTAATTGCGAAGGCGGCTTTTGAACTTTTGAGTTCGCATGTTTGTGAAAAGCGTAGTAAAGATTGCCACGTACGTTCACCACGCTTGGTTGAGCATCAGATGTACGTGTTCAGTAAAGTGTGACTGAAATGTGACTTTAGAATGAACTTTAAATGTGCAAGAAAATATACTTTCCACGTTCTGTTTTAGCTTGCAATTTCTGTACCGAGATAAAACTCTTCGTGTGTGCTTCCTTTCGAGTTTTTTCCCTAAATTTTGAAGGGGACAAATTGTCCCCTTGACCGTTTTTTTAAGGGACAATTTCAATTGCAGTGCGGGATTGGCGTAGTGGCGTGGCCTGGCTCAAACCCTATTATTTAATTGATATCTTTTAAAGTGTTTATGTTATAAAAGTACAATTTAGACAGAGGTGAACAAGTCACATAATATAGAAAAGTATAAAAACATGTGCTGTCACTCTTTCAAATTTTTTTATCCTTAATTACATGTAGTTTTTACTCATTTGCTTTCGAAAATTGGAAAGGAACTCATAACAATTTTGTGTCATATTACCCTAAAAATATATACTAGCATTCCTTCTATAACAAAATGCTATTAAGTAATTTTAAATTACATATTATCTCTGAACACTTTTATTTTGTGTATTATAAGTGTTTCTACATATCAGTATTGATCAAAATTAATCAACCTCATGTATCACTAGGTTTCGGGTCCTCCTCAGTCTCATAACAGACATAGTTCAACAGGGCATTCTTCAAAATCAAGGCATTCGGGTGATCACAATGAAGAAGCTGCCTCAGAAGACGACATTCATCATAGATCTGTCTCTTCAGAAGACCCAGCTAGTCCAGCTGGGACAGTGAGTACTCTTCCAATAATCTTATGATTTTATTTTTGTCCTACTGATTTCCAAAGAGAGAAATTTTACCCTCCATGATTGGCAGCTATCTAATGTTTCAGAAAAGTAAAGCTGTTATACAGGCCCAGGTGGCCCATGGGGCTGGCACTTAACTCCGGCTTCCTTAACATGAAGCAGCTAGGAGTATTACTACTGCCCCCTGGATGAGATGTTAGTCCATTGCAGGGTTACCCCCAGAATATTTGCTGGTACCCATTTGTACACCTGGATGAAGAGAAGCTCTGTGAGAGAAAAGTGTCTTGCCTAAGAACACAACACAATGACCCCAGCCAGGGCTCGAACCCAGACCACTCAATCTGGAGTCAAGCGCACTAACCATGAGGCCACCACGCCTCCTTTAATGTTTCAGAGGAAAGCTTGATTTGGTGCAAACTTCATTAAAATTCAACAAAGTACATGAAGTATTTTGTTGTTGAGAGGCTAGTTTGCAATTATGTTAAAGACCTGTACATTGTAGATGATTGAGTCTCAGCTTTAACTTCTATAAATTATCTATACAAATGCACACAAATGAAAGGAAATATGAAAGGAACAGTTCTCAAGAATTGGTAAACAAAACATACAGGCTAAAGGGTTCTATTGTGCAGTGTGGTTGTCCGGGTGAGAGTACACTTAGTCCTGAAAAGGACTGTTGTCGGAAAGGGTGACTGAAGTTTCAACAATCTGAGAAATCGTCATTATGAGAATCAATGGAAGAGTTGTTTGTTACTTGTAGTCCAGCCTCTGATTGTTTGAAGGTTGGATAACGCTATCCACAGGATAAATCTCTATCCAGTGGATAACGCTATAATTATGTTTTGCTATCACTTATCCACTGGATATCGATTTATCCGTTGGGTAGCATTATCTGCCCTTTATACAACTGCGCCCAGTGCTGTAAGTCTGGTTTGGGAAAAATGATTGGTTGGCTTTGACTGGATGCTATTGGCTTTAAGATTCTGGTGTTATAAGTCAGTTGTGATTGGTTGATATTGACCCACTGAAAGTTGGAGACATTGGTGTGGGGAGCCTTATCATTATTAGAAAGTGGTTCTTGCTGTAGATTTATAATTGGATGAGTTAAATTAAACAGAAATTGCTTATAAGGTTTCACCCAAGCACACACCATTAATTTTTCATGTGTGTAGGACAAAGAAAAAGTCTCATGTTAGAAATGGTCAATATCTAAGTTCATTGGACAAACAAGCTTAACTTAAACCTTTCTTCACTACACATATGAATCATTAGGGCTTTAGTATATACAAAGTTGGTAGCCTTGTAAACCATGCTAGCTGCATTGCACAGTTTTCCCAGTAAATTCAAATTGCCATCAACTGTCTGTTGTGCTGTAGCTGCGCATTTTGTGTTTTAGGGTTTAATGCTACCTGACTACTTGGATGTTGACAGCCCAGCCCAGCGTGGAAAGAAGGAAAAGAAACGGAGGAAAGTGGAAAGAAATACTAAGCTTTCAAGGAGTTTGGACTCCTTGAAAGAGTTACATGGTAAAGAAACAGACCTGTACACTGTAGCTGATAAATCCTGCTTATATGTACCAGCATAGACTTTAATCAGGATTTGTTCACAGTTCATTTCCAGTTGTTAAGAGGAATGAAAAATTTTGTACCACACAGAAGAATACCAGGGAATGATTCTGATCCTTTTGATGTGGACTGCAGCATCTTAACCCTTTAACTCCCAGTTCAAATTTGTCATTCTACTTACTGTCAACCATACAATTCTAATAATGTTAGTTCAGAGAATTTCGTATTGGGTCAATTTATTATCCCCAAATTGATATTTTTCTTTATTCTCATCACTCATCTGGTTGATATTGTATTGATACTGTAAGGAGAAATTCTCTCTTTGTCACTCATGGGAGTTAAAGGGTTAAGTACAACCTATGTGCTCCCACCCCCTCAACTTTTTACTTCCAGGGGTGGGAAACAAGAAATTTCTCAAACAATATAGATATGTTTTCCAGTACAAAGATGATAAGAAGAAACAAAAACATGACAATGGGGATAAAGCTTGATTTGACGCAGAATTCTTAAAGCTAACATTATAAGGAATGTAAAGAGTACAGTGCAGAGAATTAATATTTTGATCTTGAAGGTGAAAGGGTTGACCCTGTCACTCCCTAGATCTCATTTGTAATTCTTCCTACTGTGTGCCATACAATTCTTATAAATGTTAGTGTGGAGAATTTGGTATTGGATCAACTAGTAATTCTCTAATTGATACTCCATATAATCTTAAAGTGTTTCTTTATTCTCATCACTTGTCTGCTTGATTTTGTATTGATGGTGTAAGGAGAAATTCTGTTGTGGTCACTTGGAGGGGTTAAAGTGTTAAATGTTTAACTACATGTGTGTTGTATTAACACCTTGTTGTGGTCATAGTCATCTGTTGCATATGGTTGACATTCACTCATTTTATCATATTTTACTTTCTAGTCAATGTGGAGCCAAAGCCCAGGGATAGAGAAGCTTCCTCTTTAAAATCCAAACCATTCAAATTTAAGTTGTTTCATGGCAGCAAGAAAAAGAACCACGGAAATGAGATAAAGAAGCAGCCTTTGGAAAAAAAGCTGTCAAATCAGAGGAAGGAGGATTATGATGTGCTGGCATCAGCCATTAAAATGGGAGAGGAAGATCGCATGGCACTCATGATCATGGTCAAACAAGGGGAACTCACTGTAGAAGAAGCTGTAGAACAGTTGAAGAGGTATGTGTAAGGTCAAATGAAAAGTGGTAGCCATTAAAACTTCATTATTTAATGTAAAATTTTCCTCATGACCTGCCAGGCTTTAATTGAGGAGATTTGGTAAGGGACAACTTATTATCCCTTTGCACCCTGACATCATTATATTATGCATACATGTATTCTCCTTACTTTTCCCCATATATTTCCCAAGATACCAACAAGGAGAATTTGTTTAACAATCAAGAGCTTCTTTGGTTGGTGATTGTTTCCTTTATTTTCGTGACCTTGATGTGTGAATCAGGGGTGATTTTGTAAGGAAAAATTAGATACAAATCACTCCTAGAAGTCAAAGGGTTCTTGGTACTCTTGCCATGAGAATTATACAGGGATTTTCCCTTTTTCCCTCAATGAATAAACCTGAATACAATGTATGCTCTTACAGGTATGAAGAGGACTGCAAAAAAGATGATTATTTAAAACCCAAGGTTTGTGTCTCCCTGTTTTGTGTTTTTGGTTGTTTCTGCTTCACACATAGAAAAGGAGGTAAATGCAATTCTATAATACCTTACATGATGTTGTACTGAGGAACAAGACAGTGTAATAATCAGAACATTTCTGAAATACAGCTGTAGATGACTTGTTGTATCAGATACCAACATTCAAAACAGACTTAGGTGATCCCTTAGAAATAAAGTTGTCATTGTAATGTTCTTGTTCCCAACCAATCTCTTTTTTGAGAACCATGATATAAAGATTGGTCACCATGCTTAATAAAGAGATATTGAGGGCCAATCTTACCCCATTTGTGCCTGCACTGGTACTAATCACATCTGTTATTTGGTTTCCAGTACATTTTGCAGTAGCTACAATCAGTTGCAAAAATATTGAGACACCTTGAACAAAAAGTGCCTTTACCCACTTCATCAGATGGCCATGTAGAAATTTAGTGAAAGAAACTAGAAGATAGATGCCCCCTTTCCCCCGATTCATTGTTGTTTATTGAAGTTTTGTATAAGGTACTGCTTAGCTATGAACATGGCAAGGGGGGAGTGGGGGATACATTGTGTAAGATCACATGATAAACAATTTTCTCTTGTTGTGGTAAATGTCTCAACTACTTTTGCAAATGGTTGTAGAAGCAAGAGTTTTTAAAGTAAATGTGTCGAAGACACTAGCTAGGTAGAAAGTCTTAAACATGTGGAACAATGGAATATATAATTTAGAGAAAAATCATACAATATTAAATAACATTACTTGATGTTATGCACAGTACCTGGCACAGTACATGATGTGTAGTGTAGTACTGAGTTCTCAACTTAATAGATGTCTGGCTTCCAATTACTATTTTGATCATCAATTGTGGTTTTTATGGCACTTATTTTCAAGTTTTACTCTGTTATTTTTTGTTTCCTTCAGAGCGACTTTTCCAGTGAAGATGAAAAGATGGGCAATAAACCCAAATTAAAGCGTGGTATTTTTGGAAAGAGCACTAAGAGAAAATCAAACAGCAGACCTTCATCTGAGTTTATTGCATGTGAAATGACAACCATGAGTGAGGAAGATAGGATTAACTTAATGAGGAGTGTGAAAAATGGAGAGATGAGTGTTGAACAGGCACTCAAACGATTTGTCAGGTACAAAACTATTTTTTTAAGAACATCAAAAGATTCAACTCATCAATGTCTTTTAAAGGGGCTTGTGAGTTTTTTTTACATGTGTACAGCATTTACATTGTGTACCTATATTCATGGAATACTGCATTTGAACTTTGAATTTACCGTGCAGCAACTGTTTGATTGCCAATTGCAACAAAGAGCCAAGAGGTTGACTTCTAAGAAAAATGAGTGGCATTTTTATGCAGATTGATGTGAACATGGAATGTGCTGGCCAAAAGTTTTAAGTTACTTAAATTACAACTCTTTTTTACCCTCTGCAAGTTAGAATTAGTATGCAAATTTTGATACTGTTCTCTTTACATATCCTGTGCTACTGACAGGGAGAAATTATATAACAATCAAGAGCTTCCTAAATTGGGGCTTATTTCCTCACATGTGTATGATTCAGCAGTGATACTGAAGGAATAATTTAGATGTAATTGTCCTCATGGTTGAAAGAATTATAATTATTTTCCCATTTGTCCTGTGTGTACCTTTACTTTGCTTTTCATGTTTCTCATGAGCTGTTTGAGATTTTACTCAGTATGAGGATTTTTAGCAGATTTTTTTGATCAGTCAGCCAGTGCTGAAACTTCCTGTAATGCATTCCCTAACCCTCCTTAATGTCCAAGTCAACAGCAGTAAAATTTGAACTCATATCAAATATTTATGTGGTAGTGTTTGAATACTTGTATTGTGTGGGAGAGTGTTTTATAGTTACAACTTAGTTAGTGTACCATTAGTTTATGTTAAAAAAATTATACGTACTTTCCTTTCCTTAGTTATGAAGAGAAACATAAGAGATCTGACTCGGATGATGCTTCGTCTTCAAGGGTGAATAGATTTCTCTTCTGATAAGTACAGTAATATGCAACTGTACGTTGCTGTCTGTATGTTGTTTCTGAGACTTCATGTACCACATTTATCATTGTCTATTGTTTTGTAAACTTACTGTATGTCTCCTCAAACAGGCATTAGATATGTTTTAAATATTATGTATTTTTGTGTTGTGTATTTGGGCTGCAGTTTGTGGTACATCTCCACCAGGATTGTGACAGAATCATTGTATAAATGAATATTAATGAGGAATGTTAAACAAATAAATGGAACAATGAATGAATATAAGAATGAAACATGCCAAGAGAGCACAAAAGTATAAAGAAATTGAACTTACTCTTTTTTTAAGTCCAACATCCGCTATATGTTTGGTATAACTTAGCTTGGTGAATTGGATGATTTATCAAGATGACACCTTTTTAGCTGATAAGTATGTAAATTCTCATTACTTCTTTGCTGGGTATCAAATCGAAATGTGAAGAGAAGTTGCATGTTTTATCTCCTGTGAGAACTCAAAAGGCAAGGTGTTCATTTTTGCTTCTGGATTTCTTTACCTCTTACTAACGAGTTTGAGGTTCATACTGTTAGTTGGATTTATGGCCCAAACACACAGGTCGTGGGCCATAAATCTGAGCAGGAAAAACAAGCTTCCATAATTTACAGTATGGACCAAGATTCTCGGTTAGTAAGATATTTATTTTATCTCTGGGTTCAAATGGAGGGGGGAAGATTTTAATTTACACAAACTTTTGAATTTAGTGGGCCATACATTGAAATACGGTCTGCCAAATTGACCAATCATAGTGCGTGTATTAACTGAGTGATATAATAGTTGTCCTTATTATTTTTTTCACAAAATCAGCCTGCTAAAGAATCACCCAGGTTACTTAAAGGTTCTGGATTTTCACGTATCAGTATCAAGAGAGTGTCTGGTGTCCTGCAGTCTAAACTGTCTGGTAATCCTGCTCAAGAACCAAATGCTGTATTTTACACTGGTATGTCTACAACGAGTTTTGTGTGCTATACTTTTTTTAACAGACCTGTAATTTATTTATTTCTCAGTTCGTGAGCGGGCGATATTCTACAAATCCTGCAATCTGATAGGTTCCGAGAGCGGGCAGTATTCTCCCCATCCGGGAAAAGTTACATGTTAATCACTTCTGGGAGTTTAAGGGTTGAAGTAGTTGATTCTAGAATAATACTTTTGACATTGCTACTTACGCTTGAGGAACCTTTTAATTTGAACCCATCCTTTTCTTGGGCGCGTTGTAAATTGTATGGCAAACGATTAATTCCCAAAAGGAACAGAAAAATTACCATGCTTTCTTTCATGCCATTAACAGGAGAGGAAGGAATAAATGCAGATGGTGGTAGTGTGGACAGCAGTGTAAGCTCAGGAGATGAGGTCCCGGTAGCTCACGACTCCTCCCCAGCCCCATCTCCCAAAAGGTTTCTGGAGAACGTTCAGGGCGTAACTAAGGTAAACTCTTAGATAGGTCATAGCCATCCACAAACCCAAGACGTTCTCTCACAAGATCCCTCCCGGTCTAGAAATGTCATTATTTCTCTTTAGAGGCATCATTTTCGATTCACTGACTCACACTGTGACCCACCTCCGTGAAACAGTGTGATTTAGTCATCTTTAGCTCAGAAGGGTGTCTTCTACACCCAATGGTACTCACGAGGAAGAGGTCTTTCAAATGATTTGCAGACCAAAGCGATCAGTTCAATTGAGACGAATCAACGGAATCAAATACGAGTGTATATTGAAATAAAATTTAGACGACCAAATATCGGTAACAAAGTTTTACATCTTAATTGTTTACCACTCCTTGTTAAATTTCCCACTGTCGTTAAAAAGACCATGTAAAAGTGGAAGGCTAGCCAATGTCAACGGAAAGAGAGGAACAAGGGTGAGAAGGCAAAAACCGAAAACCGAAAAAAGAGACTTATGCGGATGCCTTTAACAAATTTGCGTATTTTCTTTCAAATCTTTCTTGACGAAAGATAGATCTCGGTCCCTTTTGTCTGAAAGAAAACCTTTTAACGTCAACGTACTGTATTAGAATCATGTGGAGCAAAATGCGATAGGATTTGTTTCTCGACTGAATTTGGTTAATATGGAGAAAAAAACTGATGCTAAGTCGCGCTCAAACAGAATGTTAACGAAGTTTCTATCACGGAATCGCTTCACATTTCTCAAATTCACAACTTACGCTGTAGATTCTGCACTCGCTTTTTAAATTACACCCCAGAAGTCAGTGCCTTGACCTTCGATGTTTTACCAAAATTCAGTTCAATCTCAGTTCTGTATATTGTTATGATACTTCAGTAATGTCTTGTTACATGTTCATTTCAGTCACAGCACAGCTCATCCAGCAGTGTAGATAGCATGGGGAGGGCGGACGACAAACCGGTCACTAGTTCCCCTTTACACAGGCAGCCCAACTTCTTGTCTGAGATGAAATTGGTCTTGGGAAAGCAAGCTCAGTCTGTTGACAATATTGCTACAGAGAGCGGAGATGGTACGCACATAGCTTCCTTGTAGAATCACCAATTTATAAATTTAAAGAAAAAGCACGATACCCATTAGGTTTTGATGATACTTTCTGGCTCAGCAAGAAAGAAAATTGTGTTGAATCTCAGGCAAGTAATAATTTGAATGTATATACCTGGTCAGATGAATCATTATTTTGAGTACTAAAATATGGTAAGTTGTTACTGAGTAAGTAAGTCAGTACGTCGCAAAAAAGTGGCCTTCAATTTGTGAAAGGCAACTTGGTTAAGCAAATTTATTTACTCATGGAGATGCAAAGTTTTGATGGAGACGTCAGTCATGTTCATGATAGTTACAAGTATTTTCTTGACATTGGTCAGTTGTTTATAGTTTGGTTTTTCTCCCTAGGTAAATTACAGCAAGATCAGAAGCCTCGACCACCCCTCCCTGGTAGACAAGCGTCGCCTCCTGTGATGGAGACCCAAAGGAATATTCTTTCATCTAATTCCGCAGGTTCCCCGAAAAGGGTCCCTGATGTGCCATCTAGACCAGGGTCCACAGTGTCGGTACCTCACAGGGCACCTCCTCCAATACCTACACGACCAAATTCCAAGAATGCAGAGGAACGTAGGAAGTCCGATGATGTACAAGCAGTTGAAACGTCCCTATCAAAGGATTTGGCAAACGAGGTTATATCGAATGACCCCATACTCGAAACAAAAACTCTTGAATCTGCAAAGCTTAAAAATGATCAAAGTCAGAAACCGAAAATAGGAAAAGCGACAGGAGGCGAGCTACTGGAGGGTCAGGTTTACCTTAAACCTGCCCCAGTAAAACAACAAGGCGACGAAATTACCGGCGAAGGCGTAAAAAAGCCCAGAGACAAACCACCGCCCTTGCCACCTCGACCCAAGAATTCAACAAATATTCAGGAAGACACGGATGCTCGTAGTGTGGAGACTCAAGCAAGTCCTCCGCATTCTAAACAAGGAAAGTTCGGCAAGGACTCAAAATTAGCGGCTTCAACCGAAGAGATTTATAAAGTGCCTTCAGTTCACAACGCCAGCGAGAAACCACAGCTTAAACCGAAACCCAAACCGAAGCCAAGACCGCGCGCAAAACAGGCTGAAACACAAGACACAGAAAATGAGCTGTATACAGCGGTGCCCCCACCACGCCCTGTCGAGGGGACAACATCGGGAGTTACGCGTACCCATGGGGAATCTAGCAGCGGTGGTATGGGAACAAACATGGTTAGAGTAGAAAGTAAGCCGTCAATTTCGAAAAGAACTGAGTTAGAAGTTTCGAAAAACGAAGCGGGGGACCACTCTTCGCCGCCAGTTCCGGTGCCACGAGTTAAACGAGCTTCGCACTCATTAGGGGAGATGGTGGAAAGAAAACTGCATATAGAGCACATCGATCTAACTCAGGAACCCTACACAGATGCGGTAAGTATAAACTAACGTACAATGCACGTCTGTTTGATCTTAATCACTCACCCTTCCACTCCCAAGATCTCGTCAGTAAGTCTCCTTACTGCCAAACATACAATTTTATGATGCTAGCAGGGAGAATTTGCTATAGGATCAACCAATGATCGTCAAGTTGATATTTTTTTGTATTCTCATCAATTATCTGCTTGATACTGCACTGATATTTTAAGGAGAAATTCTGTCTCGGTCACTCATGGGAGATAAAGAGTTAATCAAGTTCCCTGGAAGCTCAAAGTTTGTTGGAATCTGGTTAGTTTGAAGGGCCTCGTTCTTAAATCCGTTGTCAGAAAGTGCGCTGTTATGGGTGATAAAAATCTGAACTAAGCTTCGCAGCTTATTTTAAATCTTGAAATTTTTCTTCCAAATTTTTTGAATTGTTTGTTACCAGACCGTATCAATCTTCTTTATCAATGGCTGTCCTTTTTAATTTTTTTCTTCTTGATGGTATTTTTATATATCCTAGAAACTTGGAAGTTTTCCCTGGTTCCCGAATGAGAAATTGACTCTGTGCGTATTTCTTTTAACAACAGACTACTGCTATTGTTTAGAAACCTCACACTCAGCAATTCACTGCCGTAAATGTATTCTATTGTATATTTAACCGACGAATATTTTTTTTTTTCTTTCTAGAATGGTTGCTGGGGTGTCCCAGTGAATCTTGTGGACCGATACGCTGAAGAACTCCGCCGATCACACGAAGAACTCGCTAATATTTTGGAGAGATTAAGAGTCGGCAAGCTAAAGCAATCTGGTAGAACAGCTGTAAGTAGACAAACTGAAATTACGCTGAATTTTTTTTGGCCTTTTTTATGGTTGATTCGGTTCGGAAACTTATTTTCGCTTCAAAGTACAACGATTGAAGTCGATGTAAGTTAAAAAAAAGAGTGACGCATCACTTTTAAGTGTTTCTTACAGATAACGTTTGCGACAAGATACCCGAAGATCTACTAATATAAATTAGCTTTCTCTTCACTGATGACAAATCGCCAAGGAATCGGCAGACTATGGCAGTCCCTCCTTTTCGAGAGACAAAGACAAAGAGACGAGACAAAAAAATCAGCGAAAAAAAAAAAAAAAAAAGAAAAGAAACTTGATGTTACTGCACTGCGCGGAACTCTGGAATTCAATTCTTAGCCCAAAAGGAGGGACTGCTCGAAGTTTAAAAATCAGTGGAAGAGATATAAGATATCTGTCGTAAAATGGCTAATTTCTGTTCCCGGTATTCATGTGGGTGAAAAAAATTCATAGCTACTTAAACATGCATGGGATAAGCTGTTGTTACTGAAAAAGAATTCTTCTTTTTTTCGTGTATCATTTGTTTGTTTATGATTCCCACAGGTTCCCTGTAACGTATCGGAATTAAAATTTGCAAGAGATCCTCTCGGAAGTTTGGGAAGTATGGAAGAGTGGCTGATTTCATTAGGTCTACCCATGTATATCACCAGTCTTGCTGAAGTAGAATATGACGACATGGCAGCCATGCCTGGTATGGAGGAAAGACATTTCCAATTTGCGGGTATATCGGATCCTAGGCATATGAGCCGGCTATTGGCTTCAGTAGAGGAGATGAGTAGGTGACACGAAATAAGGAACCCTAAAATGAGCTCCACTATAGTGTTTCCTGAAGGACCTGTGATATTTGGCGCCTCCAAGGATGTCAAAGAAATCATTGTTGACAAAGAATCTACTTGTCACTTAAAGACGTTATTCGTTTTGGTGAAAATATTGACAAAATTGTTGTGAAGAGTGCATTTCAAGAACATTGCAATCAAGAAATATGAATATGAAACATTAAGATATTAACGAATAACCAGAAATTCAAGTAAATTCATACATAGATGAATTGAAAATTACATTGCAGGAAGGATTTGCTTGTAGAGTTAACAAAATGAGCGAAGCCGGCTATATCAAGAGTCGAGCGAGCAAAACGTTTTATTAATTATCCGTTGTAATATGGTAAACAGGCTGCGCTGCACGTACGGTGCTCCTGTTTGTTGTTTGAAATAAATCAACGTGAAAGAAGCCCTCTGCCTGGTCACCTGCTCTCTTTTTTCATTATACGATCCAAGGCTGGAAAGTTTTGGTCCGAACGATAAAGTCAATTTTTTTTCTTTGATCAGCGAGTTGTCACGGGATTTGTAGCCTTTTCATACTTTGAGACCGGTCACTTTTCTTCACCGGGGGAGGGAAGGGAGGTTGGAGGATTTTGGTTTTGTCACTATAAAAAAATACCTAATTCCCCTTGTAAAGCATTGTAGTATTCTTACGCCTACCCCTTCCCCCTACTCATTCACATTTAATTGGCACTCAATTGTATATATCCACCTTTATACTCTATTGGCGACGACCGATGCTTCTTCGTTTCTCCCTGAAAACCATGTAATCCTCCCTCTGGCGGTAGTTAACAACTGGTCTATTACCTCAGTGTAATTCTCTCGTGTCCACTCATTCCACGCGAAAGCCTTACTTTGTATTATTCTCTCGTAACCGTTTATCTATAAGAAAAAGCATCACCTCATTTGTGTAAATTGTGTTGTAACGGAGGACAAGTTAAATGGCTTAAACCAACTACCCTCTGTTAGTCTATGTAGTAAGATTTCCGCGCAACCCATGATTCAATATCCATACAGTTCTTGGATAAAGAAAACAGTGGCGAAAACAGTAGATTACCTTTGGGACTACGACTTTGTTTACCAATAATATGGGGCTGTGCGGAAATCCCATCCTCTCGGTAAATAAGATAGAAACACTTTCTAGGGTAAATTTAAAATTTTATCAATTCCATGAAACTACTATAGGATACAAAAAATCCTACACAAAACATTCATTCTCATTCTTACCAGGTGTTCTGTTCAGTTGTGCAAACCTTTGAGGCGAGTTATCAGTCATGTCAAGTTATAAAAGCACAAAAAACCCTTTCCATTGGCCAAGCTTCGGAAGTTGTACTCGAATAGTTGGTCTGTTTTTTTGGTTGTTTTTGTTTTCGTCGGACGGAAACAGGGCGAGAGACCGCAAAATGCAAATGAGTTCAGAGATTTGCACGTGCTGAGCGAGCCTCGAATCCCTTGAGTATAAAAACCTTGGGACGAGGTTGATGCTGAATCCATATGTTTTTATAATGAGAGTTGTGTTAGTTACAACGAACAGCTGGTTTCTATGAAGGCTAGGGAAAGAGGGGAGAATACTTTTAGAAGAGAGACATTTTTTTTGTTTACATAGACAGAAAATGAGAAATATAAAAGGAGAGAAGATATTTTTGAAAGTTCTTTTAGGACGGCTTCAGGATGCTAGGCAGTTTCATCATATCAGTTTTGGGGGAGAAAGAATTTCTGCCAACTTATCTTATTCACTCGAAACGTCAGCTTCGAAACTCTCTACGGTGACCAATTTACGTTATCAACTCGGTTGATAAGTACCCAGTTATACTCTCCCACCGACGCAGCACCACAGTTTCTTTAGAAACTTACCCCCCTTAATTAATTTTCTAACTTAGCTCGAAGTTAACTCACATAGTGGTGCTCATAATGAGTGAAAAAAAAAATGAAATTAATGTGTGGTATTGGGAGACATGATAATAGTACAAACTCTCAGTGCTTATGCAAGTGGATGACTTGAAGCTCGAGCCGGCACGCGGAACTGGGCTCGCTCTTCAGCGCGTCACAGCGCGCGCTCCTTGTTTCAAATTCCTTTGTTACGTCAGAATTTCCGTTGGAACACAAAGACGAAAGTGACGCTCCTTTCAACGCTGATACGCGGTCAGTCTTTAAAAGCCTGCCAGGATAGCTGTTTTTGGAACTCTTTCTATATCAGTGGACTTCAAAAGAAATTAAACATTTTGTTGTTCTTATCTCTTTGCATCACGTAAGTACGTTTTCAGTTCGTGCAAGTAATTTTATGAATTTAGTGTCAGACTCAAAATTTATTGTCACAGTCTTATTTAATTTTTAGGTGAAATTACAAGCCAACAGCACCGCTGGATATGATGGATTTGTTTTACTTTTTCATTTGCTCCTTAGCCATCTATGCTTGCTCGCATTCAATCTACGCGGTTTACGGTTTAATACTGGCTTACTTACGACGAAAAAGGTAAGCGGAAAGATAAAAAGGAAAAGGAAGTGGTTTGGGCACGGAAATTTGAGAGCAGAGCCCATGATCAGAGCAAAGGCTTTACATTTTTATCAAATTTAAAAAAAGACGAAGCCTCTCTCGCGAAAAGATCTCTACCAAAAGTTTTGTTTTTCCGGCGCTGAGGAAGATGGTGATCGCAATGTTACCGCAATGTTACCGGTCTTCGGTCTTTTGCAACACTACGCTGTTAGAATTTAGCATACTTCTCAAGACTGGGATTCCTTAAAAGTGCCCTTATTCGATAGCGAAAGGGACAGAAAGATCTGCTCATACAAGGCAATTGGCTTAAACTTATTAGAAAGCATGTCTGATTCCCTCCAGATTTTCAGGTTTGTCTATTATGCTTACGGGTGCTTTACCCCAAGCATGTAGAAAAACCACAATAAATTCACTTCTAGGCTCATTTGCTTTTTTCTAAAAAAGGGAACCCTTAATAGTACCCGAAGAGCCATCAACAGAGGAAGAACAAGATGAAATGAGACCCGCGGACGAGACAAAACCCGAGGAAGATGACGATCTTATTGAACCAGTTTGGAGACCAAAACTTAGGAAAAAGCGCAAGCGGAAGACACAGGGATGGTAAAGACATTGCAGGGCTTGAAATACAAAAACAAACCTTTGTGACTGCAAATAGAATTGGAAATTTCATTCTCACCGTTTTTATTTTTCCTTTTATGATTCAATCTGAAATATACTTTAATTTCGTCGTGGAATGAACACAACACGAAGTCCACTATTTCGTTTATCCTTTTCCGAAAATATTGTCCTTCTTGTTGCGGTGATTTGTTTATTGTTTTTCCGAGGCAAGCCCTTGTCGTTTTCAGTGCAAACACAGGGTCTTTTTGATAGACTAATGGCGCGAAGTTCAACATGTTGAGTGGAAGGAAAGTTCCTACCGTTTCCAAGGGTTACTGATAGCAGATCTAGACTTTATTACTTCCTTTCACTTCTCCATAACCTCGAATAAGTCGATAGCACATATCGAGTTCGAGCGTACACTGGGAGATGTATCAATCGATGAACGTGGAAAGGTAACTGCTGCATTGTCGCTCACAGATCGATCTGTACTACAAGGCGCGCTGATGTGTTACTCAGTTATCCAAGCCTTTTGTATTTCACCCATACCAGCAAGTGACCAGCTGGACACGCATTCCTTTCTTGTTCCGCCGCAAGGCTGGTGACATTTTCCGTTTATAAAGCCTTATCAACACTTGGTCTCCTTGAGCTTGTGTAGTGCAGTGAAACTACAGCTCTCACACCGTCATTTCATAACCACACTAGCGTTTTTAACAGTGAAGAACTAGCATTGTGGCCCACAGGGGCCCAGACTGTTCACGGTGTATTGGAAACAAACAAGACTTCCTTTAAGGTGCAAACCCTTCTCCATTTCTGAAGGGTATGACCACTCCCTGGCGTTTCAATTCACTAAGCACTTCTAGAATACCGTCAAGTTCAAATCTAAATTTCTCGATTTCCCGATTTTTTTGACGTACAACCTGTCTCCATCTTGCCTCTGTTTCTTCTTTCTCGATCTTGGCCGTAAGGTGTGTTTTTTCTATAACCCTCTGTAAGTCCACTTCTCTTTGAGAATGCTTTTGTTCAAGAGCTACAATTTTAGTCTCTAGTGAGTCGAAGTGGTTCATTTCGGGTGTAAACATCTTCTTAGCACGCCTCAGATCGGTTTGAAGTTGAGCAACCTGCTGTTGAAGGGACTCCTCACGAACCTAACATGAACAAGAAATCGATTAGCACCGAGAACACGTACCAAAAAAATTCATAGGACGTTCCTTGTTCATGGCAAGCTTTCCCTTCCTTTTCGTCGAGCTGGGTTCGAAATACATTCCAGCAACGAATGACCAACCATTTCATAACAAATTCCAGCCATTCGCTTTTCCGTTACAGGCACACGCTAAGCCAAGGACATTACGAATGGGAAACTGGTATAATGAGTAGACACAAAATTCAAGTTTTATTGCAAGGATCACCCAAGTCAAAGAATGCACATGAATAATAAATCTGGACGATAGCTGCCTTCAGTGTATTTATCAAACCCTAAATTTTTTAATGAGGTTATGACACGGATTTTAAAGAAGATAAAGAAAGATCCACGACCAAATGATTGTCCCCTACCCCCGCTTTAACAACCTTCACAACCCATCTCGTCGTCGAATAAACACGTCTCTACAACTTTGTTAGCGCCCCCCTCTCCCCTTCCCTCCCCTCCACCCACTGGTCACTTCCGGAAGGTTTCGGGTGCGGTAGGAACCAACCATAGACTATACAAGAACATAGGCTGAAATAAGCAGCCACAGCAAGTCAACCCACCCAGGAAGAGAGGAAAAAGGGGTTTTATCTCCCAGTCTACTAACAATTTACACGGCAATTAAGCTCAAGGAAATGACATCTTCAACAGAGTAGACATTATTTTATCCTCACCTTTGCTGCTGCTATTGTCTCTGCATTGACAGTTGTATCAGCCATCTTCACCTTGAGTCGCTGAATAACAATCTCCTGACTTGCTAGTTGACTTTTCAGCTCAGCTATTTTGGAAGACCCGTGTTCTGCAGCAAAACCGGCCTTAAGCTGATCTAGCTCACGTTTGTATTGAGCCTGCACACTTGCCAGCTGGTCAGCTGCCTCCTCGCGAGCTAGCCGGGTACTTCGCTCGCTCTCCGCTAGAGAAGCCTGGTAACGAACCCGTTGTTGATCCATATCCAGAGACATGTGCGAGACCTGCTCCCTAAGGCGCTTATTCTCTAGTGTTAAGTCATCAACAAGAGGGTCTGGTTTGGGACTCGTATACCTATCCACTAAGTGACCTTCTGTGGCAAGCATCTGTTCTCTCTCACGCTGCAATCGATTACATGTTTGCCTCAAATCCTCCAACTCCAACTCCTTCTTTTCGAGTTTTTCCTGAAGAGGTTGAATCGCGAGACTTATATCGTCAGTCTCTCGTTTCTCTAACTCAAGTCGCTTCTTGCGAGTAGCCTTTCCACCCTCAGCCGTTGTTGCTTTAGACAGAGCGTCTTGAAGGACTTCTATTTCAGTCTGAAGCAGCTTAACTTTCTCGTCATTCGCCTCACGTGCCCTCTGTAGCTCCTCTTCGAAAATTTTAGTGCACGTATTTGATCTAACTGTTTTTTCATTCCGTTCAATTGCGCGCTGTAAATCTTGCTCCAGGTCTTTGACTCTATCTTCATACTCCAATCTCAGCGCATTGTATTTTTGTTCGACGCATCGTATTCGTTTACTTGCTTCCTCATCTTTATCCTCAAGTTCAGCCTCGAGCTTTTTCACTCGGTTCTCGAGGAATGCATAAGTCGGAGAATGTTTGCGAGGTGACTCGGTCGTCAAGGGCTGAGCTTGGCCTGGTGCCGAGGCAGCGGCGTAAATAAGAGCAGGTAGGGAGTTTGGGTATCGGCGTTTGATGATCTCCTCCATCTCACGGACCTTTAAAAGAAGGTGACAACAGATGTAGCAACCTCTTAGTTGTTATAAACTTTCAATGAAGCATGCCCACTATCTCTCTAATTTTTAATCGAACCCACCAAAACCCTTTACGTCAAAAATAACCGTTGTTACTCCGTCATTTTCAAACTTTTTAAAGCAGGAGTGTGCTCCAGAAAAAGAGAAAACCCTCCTTTAAATCTCAATTTTTGTACCTTTCCGTTAAGAAAAGGTACGAAGCGTTGTTGATGTCTAAAATACCTACTAAACGTCTCTGCGTTGCACTGAAATAAATTTTGGAGAATCACGCAAAATCTTCAAGTTAGGAACTAAGATATTACTTAAAGTAAAGAGTTAGTGTAACGTCACCGCCACCTCACCTGCCGCTCTAGATCTTGAATCCGCCTTGCATCATTAGCCCTCTCCACTCCCCTTTGTTTCTTCTCTGCCACTGTTTGGCCGTGTTGGGCCTGTAACCGGACAACAGTTTCTTTAAGCTCGCTGATTTCTTCCTCTTTCTTCTTCAGCGTGATTGCATCACGGTCGAGAAGGGCCTGAGTCTCAGCATACCATTTAAGCTTAGTGCGTAAGCGTTCAACCTCTGCTGCGTGTCGACTTTCAAGTTCGGCGATTTCTCTAGTGTTTGAGCCTGCAAACGATCAAAGGCAGGATTGAAATTGTTATATATAAATTGGTCTTTCAAAAGAATTTGACGAGCCATGGCCAACTTCAGTGAAATGATGAAATGAAGTTTCTTCAACTGCCCTTGAAACAAAGTAAGGATAAAAAAGTTCTGAAAGCTTTAGGAATATTAAATCAACTATTTCTCGATCGACATGACAACCCTTGTTCTTTGACTGACAGTTTATAAGTTTCTTGGGAACATTTCTGCTCGGCTTGTTCTTGAATAAATTCGTGAATGACTGTTTCCCGACACCGAAGGAGGATGTCGCAACGAGATTGGGCTATTCAGCGTGCACTAGTTCTAAAAAAACCGACATGTTGGTTTCTATCATTCCTATAAAGACTGGTTCATCTGCTCTTTAAAAATTATGTTACTCTATGTATTTATTTCTCGTTTCCTGTTGGGAAGCCCATAGCAGTAACTCATCCGCACAATGAAGCATGCCGAGAACTATACCATTGGAAAAGTTTTGTTTTATACCTAACCAATTTCACTGGACAAACAGGGGTACTACAGGGGTACCACATCCCTCCTTATACCTTCCTAGATGACTATTAGATGATTTATACCTTCCTAGCCACACCCTAAATACCAACCTAAAACTTGACTGCTTTGTTTCACTGCAGCATCTCTCTCGTTTTCTATTCCTCTAATTCGTGTTTCCAGGTCTTGCTTTGCTCGTCTCAGTTCATCCGCCTCGTCCTGTACCTCACTCACTCGTCTCCGTAATGACCTCACCTCTACTGTCAATTGGGAGATTTTATCCGCGCCTAGTGTGGCAGAGCCTGGAGCTGGCAAGTCTGATCCAGGTCCCCCGCTTTCTCGTCGTTCTGTCTTCTCTTTCAGGATGGCGAGTTCCGATGCTACAGCGAAAAATACATCTACTAGTTCTATCGTGACCACCAGTTGAAGTTATCAAGTGGTACTTGAGATTGTTTGTCAATATTCAACTGTCTGGCAATTGATTTACATGTATGTCCATCTATAGTCGTTCTGTTGATATCTCCGTAGGACAGTCTAATTGTTTACCAACAAAAGGGGTATGTTTCTTAAGAAACTATGTTGTTGCGTCGGTGAAAGGTAATAATATATAGATTTAGCCAAGCCTAAAAGCGGAGCTCGCATTTTTTTTCCCACACGTCTCGGGTCGTCCGACTCGGAGCACAGTACACTGACCACTGGACAAAGCCGTGGCGTTGGCGTGCCCTCGGTACAGTTGACCACGCATGTTAAAAGTAGCACCTTGTACGGTCGTATGGTCGTATGGTCGTACATCCAAATTTTTTGATGGGTTACTACTATTTTGTATAATTATAGGGCTACGCTCTGCGAGCTCCGCTATTAGATGATTTGGTTTTATTAACTAAGTTAATAATGTAAATTGGCTATTGTGAAGAGTTCCTAAAGCTGGCGTTTCGAGCGTTAGCCCTTCGTCAGAACAAATAGAGGGCTAAAGTTCGAAACGTCAGCTTTAGAAACTCTTTCCGGTGGCCAATTTACATTATTAACTCAGTTGATAAAGCCAAATTAACTGTTCATCAGTCTACCAGCTTTCCTGTCACTCAATGTTTCTATTTAGTTTATTAGTTCAGGCAGAGTGTAGGCAAAGCTCCTACACCCTTAGCTGCCCAGTTTGCATGTCTCCCGCCAGTACGTCTCCTCGTCCGTCCGACCGTCTTTTCCCCTTCCCCCTTCCCCCTTCTCCACTACAAGCCACAAACTCGAGTAGAAGACAAAAGAATAAAAAAAAAAACCACAACTTAACTAAAAAAAAGCGCATCGAAAATCTGAGATTCTTCTTACCCAGCTTTTGGTTTTCACTGAACATCCTGGCCTCGCTCGCCTTCTCTTTGGCCTGTATTTGTTTGAGTTCTTTATAAAGCCGTTCATTTTCTTGTTGATATCCCGTTAAAAGTTGTTCTTGTTCCCGAACTTCCTTCTCCAACCTTTTCATCTCCTCCTCAGAAGCAACCTGGTGAGAAAGAGTACAACAAATGCGGTCTTCTTAACCTTACATTACAGTAATAAGAAGATAAAACATGAGGATGACGGAATGTATCAACTTAAGGATCCTAAGATGGGAAACAGTACTGCCAACGAAGAGGACTCTTATGCGCGAACCTGCGGTCTCTTTTTGGCAGGAAAATTGCTGCAATCTTTTTCATAAAAACAATAATTTTTTCCAGAAAGGAACGTTGCAGGAAATTTCATAGAGCCCTTCAAACCTTAACGACTTAACAGACAAATGTCAGAAAAGCCTCAGAGGGATGAAAGAGGTGCGCTAAAGGAATCGAACGCGGGAAAACGCGTTTAAGTATGTTATAAAAGTGTTAGGGTAAGCATCTGATTGGTTGAGCTAGTAAGTGGCGTCAGTCTCGACTAACCAATCAAGAAGAGCATTTAGAAGCTAAACCAAAGCAAATTTATGTCAATAATGTCTGGTAATTTGTAATGAGGCTCTGCTTAACTAACCTCTAACCTTCCACCAGCTGCTACTCTTTTCCTTACGTCAGCTTCTTTCTCAGTCTCGTTAAACTTTGACTGCATAACGAATAGCTCTTGTTTGAGCTCGTGAATCTGACTTTCATATTCAAGACGGCACCTCTCCTCTCTTCGTGACCACTCCTTCTCGCGGGACGCTATATCCGCAATCAGTTTGTCGTTCCTCTTCTTCTCGTCCTTCCATGCAAGTTGCCAATTCTCCACCTCAGCCTGCAATGCCCTTTCGCGGGACAATCGGTGTTCGTCGGACAATCTCCGGAAGGATGTTCGCGAGACCGATTTGGCGGGCTCGTCTTCGGACCACCTTGCTGGTGGTGGCTCAGTGTCTTCATTTCCGGGTCGGACGATATGTTTTAAGTAGTTTGCAAATGATTCAACAGAAGCAGCCAGCTCTTTTGCTGACGGACTTGTGTTAGTCGGTTTTGAAGCAGCAGGACTTTCAGCAAGCAGCTTTTTACTTGCACCAAACGATTTCTTGGTCTGGAAGATATCACGAAAGAGAATAATTCAAAAAACTAAAGGGATGTCTAAAATTAATAAATAAATAAGCTTACTGTACCAGAAAAGTTTTTCAAATTTAGACCGGTTTCTTGTTGGGAAATTTGATTTGAAGGATTTTGGTGAACTTTTAAGATCCACTGAAAAACGAAGACCTCTTTGAGATGTTAAGTGGGAGATTATACAATAACACAACGACATATTGACATGATCGAGATTCGTGATCGCGAAATGTCAAAGTTCTCGGTTTGCTGTAAGTTTACAGTAACGGTATTATAACGTTACCTTACAACCCTGTTAATAAACCAGTCTTCCATACGCAGGGGGTCCTATAAAATCCATGTTTCATGGAACAATGCTGGTATCGCAAAGGAAATTTTGAAACGGTTTATTCATGGATGAAAATTCGGACTACACTTCCTCAGAGACAAGACTAACCTTCGTTTTACTACTTCTCATAGTGGGCGTGGGAGACCAGGATGGACCAGATGAAGGAGAAGGCTTAAAAAGACTGCTCTTGTCTGCATAACTGCCAGACGCTTTGGCCCTTTTCCTTCTTGTGCTGCGATTTTTCTACTACCGTTGTTTTCTTGCCGGGCTTTTCTTTGCTAAACTTTGACGCTTTCTTACCCGACATACTTGTCTCGGTGCTCTTCTTGAGGCTATTCCCCCCTGCACCTTTCCTTGCTCGTGCTATACTCTTAATACTCTGCAAGCTCTCCGGGGGTGGAGTCATCATCATCATCATCATCCTCTTGCACTTCCTTTTCCGCTCGCAATAAGTTCACGACAGGCTGTAGGCTGAAACCACTCCTTTCATCTGCCGGTTGCAGGTCATATCCACGCCCATCCTGAGTATTTCCATACGAGCTGCTGGCCGCAGGGCTAAAGTCTAGACCCCTTGCCTTAGATGATGGCTGAAGATTAAAACTACGCCCTTCTTTTTCTGGCTGTAAATCAAACCCCCGCCCTCCTTCAGTCACCCCAGGCGACGCAGCGACAGCAGACAATAAGTCGAAGCCTCTTGTCTGTGGTGACGGCTGCAGACTGAAGCTAGCTGCATCATCAACAGGCCGCAAATCAAATCCTCGCCCTTCCTCGGTATATCCGCCTAGCGCTGGAGCCAAATCCAGACCGCGTTGTTCCCCTGTGCCTGACACAGTTCCTACGCGTGTTCCTCCATCAGATGATTCGACACTAGACTCAATGCCCGCTTTACGATCGTCTTTTGCCCGCACAGGCTTCAATCCAAACCCTCCTTCTTCGTTTAAAGAACTTAGCTTTTCTTCGCTAGGTATGACACCACCGTCTTTAGTGGAAACCCAGTCATCCGTCACCACAACCGGTTGTAGGTCGAAACCCCGAGAACGCGTTTCCCCTTGTTGGTTTTTTTCGATGACAATCTGCCGTTCGTCCGGCTGGTCCGTACTCTGTTTCGCTGCTTCAGATGATGGAAGATCGAAATTACCTGTAAATGGTTTGAGAGTTACGCGATTTAGAATCAAGATTTAGAATCAAGTCCAAGAACTGAAGCATCGTACTGGAGAAAAATTCGCTCATTCTAAGCGGTGAGCTTGTGGAGACGCGCGAAAAAGTGGGCGAGCGAAAGGAAAAGGCCTCACCTTGGCCACTCCTTTCCAGAACCCCGCTGAAATTCGCTCACCTGCCTTTTCGCTCGTCTCTAATTACCGACAGTCTGGCACAAGCTAGACTCAAGTTGACCAAAACATATTTCAAATTTTTTCAATTACGAGGGCATCTTGGGTAGCTAGTTTGGACGAAGGAAAGCGTAGGAACAAATAAAAAAAGCGACATCAGGACGATTTCGCAAAGTAAATCTACAGAATACTTGGCATCGTTAGGGAAAAAAAGAAACCCGATCAAGCGTTGCTTCCAAGTCTTAAAAGGTTCATAACTGATAAAATATGCTCAATAACGAATTAAATGGACATAAAGGGAGATAAAAGATAGCAATATTACTAATACACACTTTGACTAACTACTTAAATGCTTCAGGTTAAAAGCCTCTTTGCGCATAGAAATCCGGAGCTCTTTCAAAAAAGGAAGAAATGCGCAAGAAAGAAAAAACCAAAGTTAAGGCGAGATACTCCCAAAACAACCAGACCGGAAACAACTCTAGCTTGTAATCTGGGTAATATGCTCCGTCTCAGTCTATTAAGTAGGCTACTATTTTGGCTCTCTCGCTGAGTACCTGAGTATTTGGAGCCTGTGCCAGTAACAGTAAGCTGGGCAGCTTGCAGCGCAGCTTGCAATTCGTGAATGTCTCTTGTACTTCCACTCGCCTCGTAATCAGGTCCGGTCCTCAACAAAGATGCTTGCCTTTCATTTTTGGACGTCGGGCTCTGTTTCGATCCTGAAAAAAATAATATTAATAAAACCTCAACTCTGATCTCCAAGCCAAAGGGAGCCTATATGTTTGAAAGTAAAATGAGTTGTTACAAAATCCTCAAGACTTACAACTTTTAACGATTAAGGATATTACTGCTGTGTCTCGTTGCCAGGGGAAGCCAAGCGAGGAAAAATTACTTGTACATCTCTTTACAATATTAGAGTGCAATTCTACCGAGAGTCGTAAAACTAAACTGAATCAGTGAAAGTAGCAATAATGGGCAATAGGCCTTAAGCACGAAAAACGAGAGTTACCGAGGGGCGACGAGTTTTAGTTGACCCTTTGCACCCTAACATTAATATTCATTTTCTCCATACTGTTGTCTTTCCATCTTCTATCGTGCTTAAAAGGAGAATTTATTTGACAATCACAAGCTGAATTAGTCTGCGATGATTTTCCTGATCCTCAAGACCTTAATGTCTAATTCCGCGGTGATGAAGCAAAGAGAAATTAGATCCCAATAACTCTTAGCCTATAAAAGGATTAAGCGCCTCGTTGGTTGCGAGGGAACAGGGTAGTGCGAGGTTTTGCATTACTTCACAAAGCGAAGTAAAGCAATACCAATGAAATCCCGGACGACCTCAGAAATTCTATTTAAATTTGCTCAGTGTTCATTACTGACCTTCAGAAGAGACACCAACTTGAGGTTTGTTTTGTTGTGATAGAAGATTCAGCGCTGCAGCAGGTCTCTTGGTTTCCAAAGTAGAATCTAAAGATTCCATCAAAGAAACTAAAAAAAAAAAGTGTGGAGAAAAGTTTCAACGAAGGTCAAGAGATTATGTTTTTCCAATAAAAAAAACACAAGGAACTACTGCACCGAATATTAACTTACAAAAAATATTATCATAGTTATTGATGTCGACTGACATAATAACAATACAATAATTGATAATTGTTGATACTAATAGTGATCAGAACATCCCTGACCTTCGTATGGGAGCACAACTCGACAAGGTGTTGTTGAAACAAAAAACAAATTCATCACAAGAGACAATTAGAACAAACGAAAACAACACAAGCAGTCAAGGAAACTTTAAGTAAAAAAAAAAAATTGCCTGAAACGCGGCAAAAAAGCGCGCGGAACGAGTAGCCATTTGTTTTAGTTTGTATATCTGCTTGGTCGAGAAGGCGGCGCGAATTCTCCTAGCCAATCACAAACAGTGGTGAGCTTCAACCAGTGAAATTGTAGATTACATTCGAAACAGCTGAAAATTTTTAATAGAAAATGTTGATAATAAGATAGGTCTCGGTCTGCACGTGTTGAAAATCTTGTCTACAGATCTTCATCTGAAATTCGTTTTCATCTTTTGCATTCTTAACCACTCTTGTTCCCCGTTTCTTCATTCTGTTGGTTTGTTGGTGTTTGTTTACCCCCAACAAATGATTACCTCATGGTTTTACTACACTCATCAGTAGTCCTCTCCAACCGTAACAATGACTCGTAAAATCGAAAGGGTTTATTTGTTTGAATTTTGAAAGTGCACAAACCTTTGGACAGCATACTCGGTTTAGCTACTTCAGCAGGCTCCTTATTAATGAGAAAATTGAAAATAGAATCATAGTATTAATATTTACCGCAAATCAAGACAATTTTAAGGGTAAGCGAAAAGAATTCCTCCTTCATGCAGCGTTTGAAACAAACCTATACCCGAAGTTTTTCATCTACGTTTTTGTCCTGTCTCTTCGCTTTATATCTTTGCGCATGTCGAAAAAAATTAGCCTTACTTTTTCAAGCTCGTTAGTTGCAGTCATGATAAATATTTTACATCCTTAACTATACCTGTTCGTTTTGTCTATGCCTGCATTTTAGATATTTCACCACACTGATAAAGTATTAAGAGTTTCCTAGCGATACGAGCGCTTTTCGACTGAGCGTCGCAAATCAAAAGCAAAGAAATCTTAAAGGCCAATCAGAAGAGAGAAATATACCTTTAAGAGCCAATAAGAACTCAAAGTAAAACCAACCACACTGCCTAAAGCGCGGGAAAACGCGGGCGACCAAGTCGTGATTGGTTTTAACAGGGTAATTTAGTATTATCAACTAAGTTGATAACATTAATTGGCCACAATAAAGCGTTTAAAAGCTGACGTTTCGAGCGTTAGCCCTACGTCAAAGCGATTTATTGGACCAATCATACAGCGAAGTAGAGCAAAACCAATCCAATCCCAGATTACTTTTTATCACTCGATCGAAAATTGCTCTAACGACACGTGATATTAAACGACCTTAACAAAGCACTTAATAAATAACGCACGCTTAAAGGTCTTCTGTCCTTGGGACATTACAGCTGGTGCAGAAAACACAACACCGCCTTGAAGAAGCCTTTCATTCATTGATTCACAATTTTCCTTTTTTAACTTGCATCATACCGGAGCTGAAGGCCTTGCTGGTTGTTCAGTGTCATTATCATCGGGATGTTCATCGTCTACTTCTCCTTCTTCTTCTTCTTTTCTTCTTCAAAGTTATCACTATAGTCTTCACCACCCAAATTATCGTTCTCTACCTCTTCAACAGCTTTGTCTCTTTGATCAGAGGTTCCTGAAGACATGGGTGAAAAATAGGCTTACTTTTACACAGTTTGACTCTACAGACAATACCGGTAACTGTTTATTATAAGTTGATTTCTACGGTCATTATCAAATTGACAGAACTGTCTGTTATATTCTTATCATTATCACTATAATGTTTTTTCCTTCAGAAAGAAACTGCCTAGCAGTCATTTTGAAACTTAAAACGTGAGAATTAAAACCTCCAAGGACATGATGATAATAAAGAGTGGCAAGCAAAAAATGATGCTGGAATAAGTCTAACCAACAGGAACTTCGTTTTAATAAATTGGCCATAGAACTAACTATTGTTAAATTCTGTAGATGTAGTCATACTTGTCATTAAAAAAGCCAGAGTCTGCTTTGTGATTATCGCATTTTGTTTACAACTCGTATAAATTAAAAAACCAACTCGGACTCCAGTCAATCCTATTACCGTTATTAGTACATAAGTGGTACTCCAACCTGTTACATTGAATATAGAGTCACCCAGTTCAGCTCC